CCCAATCCAGTTCCTGATACAACCAGGTGCTTTTTCCCATCCACACTACATCGAAATCTTGCTTATCTACTTCCTGCCTAGTAGGAGAGATGTCTGGTGCTCATGGTTGAACGGTGAAGCCCTTGGCGTTCTCTGAGCTTGCAGACCAGACTAGGTGACACCATCAGTGCCAGCAAGTGTGGGATTGGCTCTTGATCAGAAGGTATCCTCTACTACAGCAGTCAACACTCAGAGAAGCAGGGATTAACACCAGACAAACGATCAAGCAGAAATCAATTCTGGGAGCTGAAGTCCACAAGTCTTAAAGTTGTCAAGTTTGGAGACCTCCGCATGAGAAGGAAGGATGATGCACCCAAAACCTGAGCAAGCTTTAAATGCCCAGATGGCTTCTCCTCCAGGAAGATTATCCCCAGCTGGCAGTCAAATGCTACCCGGTGATAGAGCAGAAATGCAAGCCCTGACTTAGAAGGACCAGGAATTAGAAGCATTCAGATTAAGTCTGGATTGGCCAGCCACAACAGTCTCCTACATTGGTTTCATTTCCTTCCAGGAAATATTCTGAAATCTTTGACTGGCAAACCGCCATCCACAGCTGCCAAGCACCCCTGAAATGCCAGTGAGGACAGGAAAACAAGGAAGGTTGGCACATACTACCACTGTAGGCGAAAGGGGCAAAGATTTGTCCAATTCTGCAGGACCAGAGGAGAAGCCAACAATCAAAAACCAGGGAGGGCCATCCACCAACTGATGGGAGGGCCACACAAGTGAGTTGACAGATGACTTCCCTATCCTAAAACCTCAAAGTAGTAATGATGGATGGATGGATGGATGGATGGATGGATGGATGGGAGGGAGGGAGGGAGGGAGGGAGGGAGGGAGGGAGGAAGGACTAAGAAGTTGAAAGGAGCAGGAAAGTATCCAGAAATTCTGGCCAGGGTATGGAAACCCTTGGAGAACCCATGAAAAGATGCTGAGCTGGAGTGAACTTCTGCTTGAAAATATCTCCTGCGCCAACATCTGATAACACAGCAGCAGAGCCTCTATATGCAGCCAGAGTCCCAGGTTCTGAGGAGGAGAAATTGACTGGGATCACCCCCTGCTCAAGTTTATGGTTTGTAGGACTAACTAAACACAACCTAGCCTGTATCCTAAGTAAGCCAACATGTACAGTCAACCAACACACAGATTCAATAGTCCATATTTGAAGGCAACAGGGTTTAGCTGCCGACCTCTTCCAACAGTCCCTCAACCTCAGCAACTGGACTTCAGAGATGCTGGCTGGGGAATTCTGGGAGTTGAAGTCCACACCTCTTAAAAGTTGCTGAGGTTCAGAAACTGCTTTCAAAACCCAGAATCAGTATTGGTGGGTTTACCTAGGCACAATCACCCAGTGTGCTGGGCACAAATCTCAAAAGCCGCATTATAACCCATCTGGCCCAGCATTACTGACTCTGGAGTCCTGTCTGCTGCTGCTACCTGTTTGCAGGCCGAGTGCAAACACTTCTGAGCTGCCGAGCAGAGCAGCAGCGGATTTTGTCTGTGAAAAAAGAGAGGGATAATCCCTACCTGGAAAAGTATTGAATGCTCTGCTCTCTCTCAAAGTGCAAAAGGCTCTTTACTCGGGGAGGGGGGGAGGGACGTCTATCCTGGCTGCTCCCGCAGCATCTCTCGAAGACGCCCATGAATGGCTGGGACCCTTCACATTTTTGAGCCACTCAGTCATGCATTTTTGTTATTGTTGAAAGAAGTCGTGTGAAACGGCAGGGCTCGGGTGTGGGTCCTTGGTGGTCTCTCAAAGGGCCCGGCTCACAATCCTTTTGTTCCCTGGGAGAATGCAGGCCGGTTAGCCATTCAAGGCAGAAAATAAAGCGCCAGGCAAGGCTTGGCCGAGGGGAGGGGGAGACAAACAACTCAAGGAGGGAGGGAGGGCGGAGGGAGTTTCTGGGAAGCAGGAGAGTCTCTCCAAGGTTTTAAGGAGGAGGAGGAGGGCAATTTGGTGTGCCAGGAAAACTCCATGTCACAAAAAGGCGATGTGAGAAAGCACAAAAGTTCCCCTCTGGATTATAGGCCTGGATGAGGTCTGGCCCACCACTCAAATTATCAACAGCAAACCCAGGCTCTGCTGGCCCCTTCCCCTGCCAGCAGAGGTTTGCCTGACCCCAGCCTGGCAGGGTCTTCCAGCCAGGCTGGACTACAAGACCCAGAGTACCCAGACCAGATGCAAGTGGGCACACCCCAGGGATATCTTGCAAAGCTGGGGAGGATACCCCACAGGGCCTGGACGTTGTGTGCCGTGGCTCACATCACTCAGACCCTACTACTTCTAAGAATCCACTATTCTGGGAGAATGAAGACAAAATCATACACAAACACACACACACCGCACACACAGGATCACCGAGTTATTAAATGAGACAGATGGAGTGGTGGAACTGGAAGGACCAGTCAGGTCTCCACAAGGCTCACGCTAAATGCGAGGCATCCACCCCAAGAGATAAAATGCTCCCAGAAATCAGTTAGGATTTGAAAATTCGGAGCCTGCGCAAAATCAGATTCTGATTTCTTTCTTTTTAAAGTATCCGCGCCACCTTTTCAAGCTATGCAAGACACCAGGGTTGCTTTAGAAAGAAAAACAAAGCAAACATCAACTTAGAACTGGAAATAAAAAACGTTTAGATGAAACCCAGGGGGGCTCCAATGCCCCCACCCCTCTGCCTCCAAAGAGGCAGAAATAAAGCCAGCAGTAAAATGCTATGGCAGCATAAAAAGTTAAGACATTAGGAAGCTAAAAGGAAAAATAAAAATGTCTTTGCCCAGGATAAGCAAAATAACAACTCCAGCAGTCAAAACTGGCTGGGAAGGGAACTCCAGGCTGGGAGGAGAGAGGGAGGGGGATAATCCAAAGATGGATCTGTTTTGCAGGCTGGTGGGTCTGTGGTGCCCCCCAAATAGAGGGGCCTTCTATGTTCATCAAAGATGCAGATCATCAATGATGCAGCAAGGGAGCCCCTCCACCCCTACATATGGCCAGGACCCCCCCCCTTCTGAAGCTTACAACGGCAAACATACTGAACGGATCCAGACATTCTGCTAAGCCATGGTTTCATTTAATCCTTGTCAGCCCTTTATGCAACCTGCTAAAGGAGAAAGCTCTGAAAGCAAATCCACGCAGATGGAAGATGGGTACCGTAGTCCAAGCCAGGACACCGTGTTAGGATGATCTCAGGGGCAGGGACCTCTTTGTAGGGAACGTTGTGACGGGCACGTCTCACTTAGTGCCCAGAGCCCTGGGGGCAATGATGCAGTCCAGGAGACGTCCAAGGCAGTCCAAGCGTTTCATTCAGACTTCAATCTCAGCCCTGCCCCCCCCCCACCAAATGGGGAGTGGGACCCTTGCCAAAAGGGAGAGGCTGTTTTGAAAGGCTGTCGCTGGCACCTCCATAGCTGGCACAGACCGCCCGCAACGTTGGCTGGCCCTGAGGCTGGATGGATGACTTCTTTAAGGACAAACAACCTCATTTGCTGAGACGGAAAAGTTCTCCAGCCAAACTTGGAGCAAACTCAGCCTTCAATGGGCACCGTTCTCCTCGCCCAGAGGATGCTGGGCACTTTCCGAGCCTGCCCCACTCTGGACCGAGTGGGCCTCAAAGCCTCTATTGATCCAATGTGCCAGGTGAAAATGCCAACTGCTGTGCGAGCTCCACAGGTGTGTCTTTCAAGGCAGCCAACCAAAACGGGGGGGGGGGACCTGCTGTTCCCAGGGGCTAAACCAGGGGGATCCAACCTGGGCAAACTTGTGGACTTCAAGTCCCAGAATTCCCCAGCCACTTACGCATAGCTGGCTGGGGAATTCTGGGAGTTGGACGCCCCTGGGCTAAACATTCATCGCCCCCCCCCCCCAAGGACAGGATGCTGGAAGCCAAGGCTGCGGGTTGCCAGTCCCCCAGGTGGGCAGGGGCACCCAGGGCAGAGGTGCACCGCTTGCCTTTCCTGCAGCAATCCACGAAGGAGAATATTTGTAGCTCAAATATTGCAGGGTTGAAATGAGGGGTCCTTGCTTGTCTTCTTGCAGACGTTTCATTATCCTAACTAGAGAACACGATGTTACCTAATTTGGGTAATGAAACGTCTGCAAGAAGACAAGCACGCTCCGAGAACACCAGGGACCCTTGCAAAACCCGGGCAAGGCGCCCCCGGGCATCTGGACCGGACCCCGAGCAACTGCCTTCCTCCCCTCAACCAGCACGGCGACAATGGAGGGGGGAGCCGCCTTCCCACGCGCTTCGCCTTTCCTCAATTTAAAAAAAAAAACCCGAGGGAGATCAATCCCGGCTCCTTCCCCCCCGCCAATCCCGAGCGCGGAGCCGGCCAGAAACTCCACCCCGGGGCGAGGCGAGGGAGGCGGGCGCGGGGGGGCAGCCACATGGCGCGGGCGGGGGGGGAGGCATCCATGGTTGCAAATTCCATCGGCAAATTCCTGCGTGGTTCGCTTGAATGCATCGCGCCGCTGCAAAGACCCCCCTCCCTCCCTCCCTCCCGGCGCGGCCCCCTTTTTGCCCAAAGGGGGTCCGCAGAGGGTGGGGGGGGAAGGAAGGGACCCTCCGCGCCTGCCCAGCCGGGAGCTGCCCCGACACTTTTGCAAAGCCGCAGCGCCCCCCCCGCCGCCCCCCCCAGCCCGTGCAACAGGCAGGCCTCCCAGCGCTCCGCAGACCCGGCCAGGCGCGCTTCCCGGCACATGGGAAGGCAGGCCCGGGGTGCGTGCCTCGGGTGGGGGGAGGCAGGCAGGGGGCGCAGTCCCGCACCGAGCGGCCCCGGACCGGCTCTGCGGCGGGGATTCCCCGCCGAGCACGTCCCGCCACCCCGCGGCCGCCGCCGGCAAGCTGGCCGGGGGTGGGGGAAGCGGCGACGGTCTCCACGCCCTGCCCGCCCGCGGAGCCCCTTCCCGGCGGGGGCGCCGCCTCGCAGCCCGGCCGGCTCTCGCTCCCCGCGGCGCGGCTTACCGTTGATCTCGTGGCTGGGCGCCTCGCTCTGGCTGAAGCCCCGCGCCACATAGAGCCGCTTCACTTCGGAGCAACTTCGCGAGCGCGACTCGGCCGCCGCCTCCAGCCCAGCCGCCCAGAGCAGCAGCAGCAGCAGCGGCAGGAGCGGCCGCCGGCGGCGGACAGAGCGGGCGGGCATGCCGGCGGCGGGCAGGGAGGGGGCGGCGAGGCCGGCTGGGCAGGCGAGGCCGGCAGGGCGAGGCTCCCCGCCGCGGCCGCCCCGGCGAGGCTCGCGGGCTTCCCGGTGCGGCGCTGCTCCGGCGAGGCTGGCGCGGCGGCGGCGGTGGCTGCTGCTGCTGCTGCTCCGGCGGGCGCAAAGTTGGGAGGCGAGGCTGGAGCGGCGCCCGGGGAGGCGAGCGGGAGGCGGGCCGGGCGAGGGCGGGGCGCGGCGGGGGCGAGCCGCCTCCTTCCCCGCCTCCCGGCGCGCCAGCCGGCAGGGAAGGGCGGACGGGCCGGCCGGCGCTCCCCGAGCGGCCGCCCCGCCTCTCTGCGCCGCGGGAGGGTCCGCGGGCTCCGTTCCGGGCTGGGAGTGGGAGAGGCCCGAGGTTGCAAACTTCGCGGTGGCCGCCCCCGAGTGGGCGCCTGGCGGGGTCGGTGGCTGCTGGGTCCCGCCGCCCGCCTGCCTCCCGGGCCCCCGAGCGGGGAGCGCGTGTCGTGGGAACGCGCCCTGCGGATGCTCCCTTCTCCCCCCGCCTGTCCCGCGGAGAAAGTGAGAAATGAATGAGAGCCGAGGAAGGCGGTGGCCTCTCGGAAGCGGCTCCCGGTTCAAGACACGTGTGCGGAGCCAAGGATTTCGGACGCCCCTAAAACCCCGGTGCCAAACTCACAGACCCCAGACCGAGACAACAGCAATTCTTGTTAATCTTCCAGATGCCCTCCCCCCCAGTTCTTTGTATAAATTGCAAGAAAAGAACCCTATTCCCCCAAGTGGACCTCTCGACCTGTTGAATTTCAATTTAGACCTCTCTGGCGAACCTGCTCCTGGTCCGTTTCTCCCTCCTTCCAGTTGCAGGAAATGCAGTTTTTAATTAAAGTGGGTTTCTTCCTAAATTGGATCTGCCTGGGGGGCTCATTCCAGGGAAAGCCCACTCCCATCCCAAAGTGATTCTTCTGAACAGAGACCCAACTGGCCCAGCATCCTGGACAAACATCTCCCTTCCATTTGGGCTGATGTGGCCAAACCATTTAAGTCTCCCCCAAAGCGAAGTTTTCCCAACCTTCTCACTGTCCCCCCCTTTGCTTCCTGGGGGGCTCCTGCTGCAAAGCCAAGCAGCCAAGAGAGATTGAGTCTTCCCAGTAATGATTAGAGTCGCCAACCTAATCAGCTCCCTTCCCCACCCACCCAGAAATGGGCCAGGGAGGTAAATCCTTGGGATGCCCCCCCCCTTCCAAAGCTGGCTTGAGAGAGATTGGCAAGGGAAAAGATTTGTGAGGGAGAAAACAGGAGGTCCACTTGACTACCCCCCCCCCCGAACTCTCGGCTCCTGGCTGGAGTTGAATTTCTGATAACATTTGGGAAAACAGGACGGGATGGCAATATTTTGGCTGCAGCACGGGTCCAGCTCTTTCATCGGCCGTCAGTTTCTTGGCTGTTCTTGCTGCACTTACGGGGAGGGGGGAAGGCTGGAAAAACAGTGGCTTCAGGACGTTCCGTTCCAAATCGCAGCTCTTTGGTCAAGCCAACAACCATCAGAACCTTTGCAAAACATGGGTGTTCGTGAAAAAGGTGCATTCTTGCGAGCTGCAGCACGTTTGACCACAATGCTTGAAGCAGAGGAGTTAGGACCCTGTGAGTGTGTAGGTTGGGAAGACATACAGGGAGTCCTGGACTTACAATTTATTTAGTGGCCATTGGAACTTACAATGATATTGTACAACGTGACTTATGACCCTTTTTCACACAACCGCTGCAGCATCCCCAGGGTCATGTGATCAAAATTCAGACCCTGGGCAACTGACTCGTATTTATGACGGTTGCAATGTCCCGGGGTCGCGTGGTCCCCTTTTGCGACCTTCTGACGAACCACGTCAAGGGGGAAGCCGGGTTCCCTGAACGATCATCTTACTAACCAAACTGCAGCGATTCAGTTAACAAGGGTGGCAAGAAAGATCATCAAATAGGGCAAAACTCACTTAACAACAGGAAGTTTGGGCTGAATGGTGGCCGTAAGTTGGGGACTACCTGTATAAGCGTTGCCTTTTCTTGGTCTGGGGGCTAAATAGGCCCCATTCCCTCCCGGAGGCATCTTCCCACAGTCAGAAGAATGGCAAACTGTGATTTGGGGGTCAAAAATCAGGAAACTTTCTCAGCCACTAATGCATTTTAAGGGGTTTTAAGCCAATCTCTCCGCCAAATGGTGTTTACAAGAGGGAGCTCCTTTCCCGGACTGCGGTGTGGATTTCTGAATCAATCAAACAGCTTTAAACCATCAGTTTCCATCCCCTCCCACCTTCCTCTTTCGCCAGGGTAACAACCACTCAGAAAAAACGTCCTGGTATCAAACAGCATCTGAAACAGATTAGAAGGAGGCTAAACAAATCCTCAGCCACCCATAAGGCAGCAAATAGGAATCATTTAAAAGCAACCGCTATCGGATAAAAACCCACCTAAAAGGGTGGTTTCAAACCCAGCTAAACCCCTCTTAGAAAGGAAACATCTTTTATCAACACAAAGGTGTTTGCGTGTGTCCTAATTGTGTTTGCATGTGTCCTAATTATTAACAGAATTCACAAAAGAATTGTTGTTCCCTTCTTCACTCTGTTGTCAGCTCAGTTGCCATGTTCTTGGCCACCCTGAGATGGCGTGTGGAGGTTTTTCACGGCAAGCCATCGAGATTGTGCCGTTTGCCGTGACACAAGGCCACGTCAGGTTGTGTTCACCTAAGCTGGCAACCTTGTAAGAAGGAGGGAGGGAGGGGGTGGCTCTCTGCAACTCAAGGAAACCAACTGTCTGCAGCTGGTTTTGTGTCGTGCTTCATTTGCTGGGAACCTTCACACAGACACCCATCTTAAGCCAATAGCTCAGAGAGGCTGAAGCCATAATGCACTCAAGCCACGATTGCTGAGGTTAGATAGCATATCGCACCATATTAATTCCCCAAATGGGAAGGGCTGAGTTCATACAACAAAAGCCAGCCCACCAAGTGCCTGAGGTTAGTACGCAGCATAAACACGGCCTGTCTGCATTTATTCGTATCCCATCTTTTTATCATTTTTACAAATAAGATGGTTAATATATCCAAGCACATTTTTCTCCCCCTCTTTTCCTCACAAAAACAACCCTGTGAGGCAGGTTGGGCTGAGAGAGAGAATGACTGGCCCGAACTCACCAGCCGGTTTTCATGCCTAAGGCAGGACTAGAACTCGCTGTCTCCTGGCAATTGGTCGTTTCCAGGGTTGAGGCAGGACTTGAACTCACCGTCTCCCGCTTTCTAGCCTGCTGCCCTAACCACTAGAACAGGGGGTCTTCAAACCTGGCCCTTTTATGACCCACAAGTCATAAAAGGGCCAAGTTTGAAGACCTCTGCCCTAGACCAAACTGGCTCTCTGTGTAACGGGATCCCAGGGACTTGCCATCCCTCCTGCCTCACCAACTTCTGCCAACATTTCTCAAACCTTTCCAGGCCTGTTTTTTGCCCACCGTGCCCATGACAGACCGTGTGTGAGAAAGCGGTGAAGCTGCTCATGGAAAAGGATGTTGAGGATTTAGCCAGTCTTTCCAAAGGGGGGGGGGTTGCACATACACACACAGAGAGACACACCAGGCTCTCGTAAAAATGTTTGTCTCGCTCCCTCAGCCCCTTCCACCCCACTCTTCCTGTGGGGACTGCTGGAGCTCCGGGTTCTCATGAAGTCTTGGCTGCCAGGCCTCCAAAAGGAAAGCAGAGCCTTCCACGCTCTGGCAGGACCATGCAAATTTTAAGGGCAGCCCAGCAGGGGGTCGGGCATTCTTCTCCTGAAGAGGGGAAGAGAGAAAGGGAGGCTGCAGAGGAGGAGGAGGAGGAGGAGGGGTTGGGAAGGGAGAGGAGAGGCAGCCGGCCAGTTGGAGCCTGAGGAAGCCCACCAGAGATACAGGATTGTCAGAAAGCCAGCAAGAGGACAACAACCAAAATCAGCGGGGCAACTTGTGAATAACAGCAAGGCCAAGCTGGTCTGCCGAAGGAACAGGTGGCATCACCTGAAGGAGGTTCCTGGGCGGTGGGTCGATCCTAGTTACTTGCCCTTTTTGCAGCTATGGATATGAGAGTCCGCAAGGCACCTGCGAAGGGGTCTTCCTTTCCTTCAAAGTCTCCAGAGAACCCCACCGTCTTTTCCATCTTTCAGGGCACTGATAGGCACACCACCCTCAAACATAAAACACCAACTCTCCAGTTCTTCCAGAATCCAACTCCTGCTTTAGCAGACTGTGGGACCCTCTTCATGCAGCACCAAGAAGGAGAGAAATTAAGACGATCTATGAATTATATCAGAGAAGCACAAAATGGCTGCCCAGTGGACATGGCTCATCAGTAAACCCTGCATTGCCTTGAAGTAACTTGGCTTGCTCTCTGCATCCTTGTGGCAACTTTTCCAGAAGCAAAAGTTCTTGCTGTAAACATGTGATGCTAAGGCTGGTTCAGGACAGCTCCCCTATTTAGTGTTTGTTCAAGCAACTTGTAAAAGTCACAGGCAGTGAAGGAGGGGGCCCAGCAAGCCCCAGGATGCCCACAAGAACCACATTCCTGACCTTGCAGTGACCGGTGATCCTTCCCCAACTCTTCAGACCTGGGAAGTGGCTTTATTCTAATGGACCAACCAGTGGGCCATCAGACTCCGTATTAGCTCTCATTACCCCAAACACTGGTCCTGGCTAGGCCCAGCAGAAGATCTAAAGATGTTGGCAGAGAAGCAGGTTTGGAACCTAAGCAGATGACAAGCCCAGCTTGCTCTCCCCTCGTTGCACAAGTGTCTTCCCTCTTCAGAGATGGAGTTTCCAAGAGGGGCCAAAATCAACTCGGCATACATAGCATAGCCCAACGGCTTCCATCCCAAGAGCGCCACGTGTCCTCTTTCAAGAGCTGATGGCCAAGGAGATGACAGCCGTGAGGAATGTTGAAAGGCATCGCAAGGGAAAGTGACACTGTTCCCCAGACCAACTTTTGTGGTCCGAAGATTAGGGCAGCTTTGGAGATCTATGGAAAGCTGCTGGGGGAGACATTCCTTCCTCCTGTTGCAAGGATCATCTTACCCCCTTGATGTGGCTTCTGGGGCAAGAGAACGCAGCCATTCTTCATTCCAAAGCAGAGTTCTGGATCCCAACGTTGAGCACTTAATGGTGGCTCAGGAGCGACGGTAGATGGAATCCCATCCCAGCTTCCTGGCGTGACTGCCATCACCATGGCTGCTCCTGCCCACATTTCTGAAGCCGACCTCCTTTTGGTGCCCTTGGATGGACAAGCGATCTGCTGCAAGGGGGGGCGCTCAGCAAGGAAGGCTGGGAAGGGCCCTTCCCTGGTCCACCGGCAGCTGCTCGGAGGATAATCTTAGGAACGCGGCTGGGACAACGACATTCTCTGAAGCTTTTCCAAGCACTCATCACTCACCCAGACAAGTGCAGGGAGCTGGCAGGCCTCTGCCCTCCTCGCCCCTCCAGCCAGAGAAAATGCCCTTTTAAAACCCTGAGGACGGACGCCAGGGCGCAGGCTGCTGCTTTGATCTCCTTCTCCAAGCGGCGGGCAAGATCAATTTTCATCCACCTCACCCAGCTCCAGATCAAAGGAAGGAGGTTCAGAGGAGAGAAAGAAAAAAGGCACAGCAAGTGGGGAGGGGGCAGCGAATGGGCAGGAGCCTGGAAATATCACACAAATACATGCGCAGTTCCATTGTCAGGAGCACTCCGAGTTGCGCAGCCTCATCAGCAAAGGGGAAACCGCAAAGAACGTGGCTTCTTTCCCCATGCAGGGCGTCCTCAGCTTACAGCTAGCCATTTAGCGACTGTTCAAAATTAAGACAAATCCTGAAAAAGGGTCTTACTGACCAGATTCAAAGTTACGGCGGCTGCCCCATCACCACAGGCCGCGTGGCCACATTTGGACACTCAACGACCAACCTGCATTTATGGAAAAACATTTTGGAACCCTGAACACAGGTGGAGCTTGTGAACAGGTGAACAGGACAGAATAATTAAGTGGGAAGGAACCTTAGAGGTCTTCTAGTCCAATCCCCCACATCAGCAGGAGACCCATTGACATTCCAGACAAATGGATGTCCAATCTCTCCTTAAAAATGCTCGTCTGTGGTGAAAACTGGCTCTGCGGGTAAAATTCACCACTGGAACCTGACAGGAGGGTGCAATTGCTCATTGTTGTTCTAGGTTGACCCCCCCACACACACACACACCCCGCGGAGACCTTAGGCCCCCACCCCAAAGTGGTAGTAGCTGTTTGGGGCTGAACGGCAAGCAGAGGGGACCGCTTTGAGCAGGTTGGCCCGCTACCACTTGCTTTCCACAGCAGTTCCACAGCCCTCTCCTGAGGAGGCACCCAGGACGTGTTTCCACCTCAGCCTCACCTCAGATGGTAGACATCTCGATACAGAGAAGATATCAAGGCGAAGAAACTTTGATCCCCGACTCGGCTGGGTTGACACACATTTCACCATGGCTTGTTGAATGTCTAGGGAGGTTCTCAATCCTCCAGGTCCTGCTTTTTCCAAAAGGCAAGTGGACTTGTTTTTTTCTTTGGAAACATTTTGCTTCTCATCCAAGAAGCTTCCTCAGGTCTGAAGAGCTGAATTTTTGGATGAGAAGTGAAACATTTTCAAGGAGAAAAACCAAGAAAGTCCAGTTGCCTTTTAGCAAAAGGAGAGAGCTTGTTGGGCACCTCAGAGCTAGCCAGCTTTGTTTATTTATTATTTGCCCACCAAGGCCAGCAAACCAGAGCTGGGCTGAACGAGAGAGAGAGACCAGCTCTGCCACTGAAGGATCTCACCAGCTTTGCTCTTCCAAACCGGCTTTTCCATCAACACTGGGAAAAGCCACCCAAGTGTGTGGGAATTCCAGAAAGACCTCAGTAGCGTTTCCTCTGAGTGGTACAGACCCCCACCCCACCCCGCCCGGCATGTCTGCACTCCTTCATCTGCTTCTTTGACTTTTCCACATCTGCTCTTCCCCAAGGAATGCGTTTGGCAGAAAGCTCAAATTAATACAAGAACGCTCGGCATTTGCTTCAAAATGCAGTCCAGATGGAGGCTTTCTTCTTTGGGGAGGGGGCCATGGGATTGACAACACTTAGCCCCCCCCTCCAAGGCACACACAGGGGCAAGAGCCAGACAGGCTTCCTTGCCCATAGATGCACCTCAAAGACCATTTTGCACCAAGAGGAAGGTCGTTCTGTTAATGCACATCGCTGTGATTTTAATGGCCCTAATTAAACAATTTCTCTGGTGTCTGTTCACGGGGAGTTGATTTTTCTTACTTTTCTTTTTTTCCTTTTAATAATATACTTGGACGCTGACAAAATGCAGGCCTTTGTTTGCATGCTCAGGATTTTGGCTGCGACGGCTGGTTTAGGACCGGTTTATAATAAGGAATAATGACTCCCATTTCTTGTTCTGTCTAAAGTAATCAATGGCTTTGCTGCTTGCAAAGAGGATTAGTAATTACCCAGATAAGTAAGAGTAAGTGTGAGTGCGCGTGTATGTGCACGCATCTCTGTGTGCTTGTGCCTGTGTGCTAATGGAAGCCACAAGGACATTTGCAGATCACTATCGGGATGGTGAGCGTGGGGTCTGTTGCAGGCTACTGGAAGTTAAAACTGGGTCGAAGTGTGCTCTTTCCTTAGGCTGGGTTCACATGCTGTGCCAAGCCACAATGTTCTGAATCGATTGAACCACATCTTCAGGCTAGGCTGATTCAATTTACGAGCCACATGGTGGCCAAGCCAAAAACCAACCAACTATATTCTGACTTAGGTTGAGCCTAAATTTTAGAAACACCTGTAGTGCTTGAAAAAAGTTGCCTCCCAAGTTTAATTGAGCTGTATTCATTGACAGCTGTCTTTCCATACGGTGCAGGAGGAGAGCAGAGAAGCAGATTGGCTAGTCTTACTTGCTCCATTCTTACTTACTCCGCTGCTTAGCCAACTGTTAACAACCGTTGCAGCATCCTCCCCAGGGGCACGTGATCAAAATTCAAACGCTTGGCAGCTGACTTGTATTTGTGACGGTCGCAGTGTGTCCCGGGGTCATGTAATCAATCCCCTTTGGTGACCTTCTGACAAGCAAAGGCAATGCAGAAGCTAGGATCACTTAACAAACATATTACTGACTTGACCGCAGTGACTCACTTAAAAACTGTGGCAAGAAAAGTTGTCGCACGACGTATCATGACTTTTTCCCCATTGCCGGCAATGGGGTGGGTGCGGTTTCGGTGTGACGCATCTGGCCCGTGGGCCGGCAGTTTGACATGCCTGGTCTAGACTGACACCTTCCCATGTCTGCTCTCTGTAAAGCCCTCAACTTCAATAGCTGAGATTTTTTTCTATGCTGCCATTCACACTTCTTTCTAAATGCCTCGAAAAAGATGCACAAAGGAGGGAAAAACATAATTGCGCCACAGAACATCTTCCAACCAGCTTGATGGCATCACCCCGATATATCTGCCTCTGCTGACATTTGTTCCCACTTAAAATCTCTTGTTCTTCTTCTTCTTCTCTTAGCAATAGGGAAGCTGGAATTAGATCTCAAATAAAATCACCTCGAATGTCAGCCAGTGTGGATATACTTCTAAACAGGAGGTAAAATGCAGAACGTTCACTTAAAAAAAAAATCAACTCATGGTGATAATGCTGCACTTATTCCGTAAGTTTCAAAACAGCTATTTCCTCCTCTCACAGGCAGAGGTACATGTGCAAACTCTACACACTCTCAAATGAGAGATAGCCAAGCATGTGATCAACAGCCTCCGACTGATGGTAGGACCTATTTATTTTTTAAAGAAGAAAAAACAGTCCTCTCTGTTCCCAGCTCTTCATATTTCCTATGCAAATTAGAGTCTAAAAAAGAAAGGAAAAAAAATCTCCAGAGCAGCCAAAGAGAGGCTGTGGGGGCCTCTGAGAGATTCCCATTTTTCCATTCTCAGACAGGCTCAGAACACAATCTATTAACAGACAAAGTGATACAGAGTAGTTTTTTTTTTTTTAAATAAAAATAGAAAAGCATGCTTGATCCTGTTGACTTTCTGGAAAACATCTGAGCATCTTCTGAAGCTGGACAATCGCTCTGCAACGATGTATTCTCTGCCATGCTCACATCAGCCACACTCGGGGAATAGCATTAGCCCTTTCTAAAAAATTACGGGCACTTCTGCTGAGGAGAGCCTATCTAAAATTGGCTAGCTTTTAAAAAATAAATACACAGCTCATTCATAACAAGAATCCAGTGTTAAGTCAATTCAAATGGGCAGCTTGAAGTCAGATTTGCCACCAATATTAATACAATGGCTAATGCAGATTCCAGAGCAAAATTTGCAGGCTGCAGAGCCATTTCCTGTTTTGGAACGGTTTCTCTCAGATTGGGTTTTGATCTCAAGACCAAAACAATTTTTAAAAAATTGTCTGATGGTGTTTAATCCAGTAACTTTGCTCATTCTGATTCACTGAGGATGCTGTGTGCTTTTGCCATCCTTAACAGCAGGGGGGAAAATGTTTACAAAATTCATAGGTGATACAATCTGAGTATTTTTAACCCTGTCATAATAATTGAACGAGAATTCTTCTAAATACAAGCCCTGGGTCTTTTGGGCCAGACCTCAAATAACTTGTTTCAGGGAATGTTTTTTTCTTTAAAAAAAAAAATTAAGTCATAGTTCTGAAGTTGTTCTTTTCAATTGCCTCTGAAGGGCGAGAAAGATTCGTAGAGCATTTTTGCAATGCAAACTGATCATGGACTGTGGCCAAGGGTGAGTTCAAGTCATTTGGCCATCAGAAAAAGCCAGAATATGAGGACAGCGCCCGCTAGTTGAAAATTCAGGGCTGGATCCTTGGCACTGAGGTTGTGACCCGTTGACTCTTTCCTCTGCTGATTCACAAGCTGCCTGTTTGAAGGGGTGCTTTCTCCGTCCAGGTCGAATGTAAGCTCTAGAAGGAAGGAAAGAAGGAGAGCCTTAGCTTATGAAAATTGAAGCCTTCCTTTTCATAAAATTGTTGCTACCAGTCTACCAGCCTTCCTAGGTAGACCATTCAGGAAACACAACCAGGTGAGTTAATTTTACTTTATTGTAAGGCTACATTAATAGAGCCTTGCAAGTCTAAAAGTACAGTTCTCCCCTACAGTCTCCCATACAGCCTGAGAAACCAGGGAGAATCCCTTCCGAGCTTCTTGCCGTTCCCACGATACATCCTGACCCTTATCTGGCTCACCCCTTGGCCGTATCTCCCCTCCCCACGGCCCCTCCAGGTCTTTCTCACATACCGTTGCACTACGAGACCCCCAAATTCAAGAAGGGCCATTGCCTGGACAAGGCTCGGATTTCAATGGAGGCCAGCAGCCTTAGTTCAACGTTGTCATGGCTTGTGATGGGGTGCCCTAACCCCTGGGCGGATGGCTCTGTGCGACATTCTAATCCAGCAGAATGGATGGAGGGGTCCTTGGTGCTTGCTCGTTTTCTTGCAGACATTTCATGACCCAAACTAGGTAACATCGTCATCAGTGCTAGTCAACACTTCACTGGCACTGATGATGTTACCTCGTTTGGGTCATGAAACGTCTGCAAGAAAACAAGCAAGCTCAGAGAGCACCCAGGACCCTTCGTTTCAACCCTGAGCTACAAATATTCTCCTTTATTAGTACAATGGATGGAGCTAGCAAAAAGGTCTGTCAATGGCCAGTCAAGTCACAGAAAGAGCTCCCGTTTTCCCGTCCCTCTGTAGAGATTCCTAGAGGCATCCAGGTGTTCCCCTTTCTACTCAGAGGGTAAAAGAAAGAGACCTTCTGATCTGATCCAGCAAGATGCTTGCTTACACAAAGCCCACACGTGCCTTAAAAGTTTCCCACACAGCAGAGTTTTCCTTCTTCTGGGACCATCTTGGTTAACTTTCCAACAGGAAGCCAGGACATGTTCAGTCTAGCTTTCCTCCTGGTGGCAGTGGATGATGGGGACTGTAGACCCACACCTGTCTAGGTCACCAGATCGAAAAGGCCAGAGGCTTCTGTTCTACAGACGGGCTCCAGTGGACAATGAGGTCAGACAGAGAGAGAAGAAGGGAACAGGTCAAACCTTTATATTAGGCTCTGCTTTTCAGCTAGGCAAAATCACCTTTGCTCAGGTACCCACGGAGCACCTTTCAAGAGACAAGCAGCCCCTGTTGCTACAGAGCCCTGCTGGGCAGCTGAAGGGAATCCATCCTGCTATTAAGCCAGTCAACCCCACCAGGTCTCCTCCGCAGCTCTTGCAAGCAACTCCAACGTGGCTCCTGAAGCCCATCCAGGTTAGTCCCAAGAGAAAGAGCCTCTTTCCAAAGATGGGGGCAAATTCAGGCTCCCAGCCTCCCCTTCCCAGCCCTGCCTTTTGTGCTCCAGATTAGATAATCAGCTGACAAGGGGAGTAAATTTAGCTCTGCTCCTCAGTGGCGGATCAGATGTTTTCCTTTCCCTCTGCCCTGCCAAGCAGGAGGAAGGTGGGGCTTCGAGGAGATGTGGGGGGTTTTTTCCTTTCTTTTTTGGGGGGTGAGGTGGGTGGTAAAAGCCATCACGGAGTGTTGAATTGCTGATACAAGTCTTCTGATACACGTCTTCTGATCTGCGGTTTTTTTCTTTTTTTCGTACAGCAGCGTGACACACACCCAAAGTCTTCTGTGCTTGCTCCGACATGTAAGAAGAATGAGAGTGATTGAAGCTGTAAACCTGCAAATATGTGTCTTCCATTTCCATGTCAACAAAGGAAGAGGGGGAGAGCACCTCACCAGGAAAAGACCACTTGAGTTATGCCCCCACAGAAGTTTGTCAGAGAGAAGCCTTTCTGAGCTGCCTTTGTTCCTGGAAGGTCCTGGAAGTCATAACAAGTCCAACTTTTGAGAGCCAACCATCCATTGGAGCTGTAGTCAATAGGCAACTAGTAATTTTGACCCACAGAATGAGACTTCCATGTTGGGAGTGCAACTGTCCAAGGGCTTCCCCAATGATCTGCCATTCAGTGCCTTCCAAAGTCCATTTTTGATCAAGAGATCCTTTATCTGAATCTTCGAAGAAACCAGGCAGTGCTGAGCTGGCAGGAAGCCAATCCTTGGAGAACCCAGAAAGAAAACTGAGGCTGGCACCAACAAACATCTGCTGAGAACCCTTTGTCTGAATGGGCATGGTCCAGCAGGTGCCCTCAGAGCTGATGTCCAGCAGCTTCTGTTCCTCCCCACAGGAGGACACAGCATAAAGAATGGAGGCAAACAAGCCCTTTGGGTTGAACTTTTGTTACAGGAGCTCTCTCGGGAACTCAAGGTGTGTCTGGACACCAGTTCATAAGTGACGGTCCAGAGTTTCACAAGAGTGGATGAAAAGGCAGAAGGCTATCCGAGGAGTGACTCCAGGTTCATCTCACCAAGAATGAAGGTGGCAATGCAGAAGTCAGTGTAGAAAACAAGAAGGGGCCCCTTTCCATTTTGCAAGGACACCTGGAGAGCCTAAATAAGGAGGATTAATTTACCTTGACCCTCCAAGTGGACTCAAGATCTATTCATCTTGAGTATCCCTCCTTGGCCTACAGGAGAAACCCTGTCATGCCTCAACTCTTGGCCACAGTCCGCACAGGAACTTTGCTTTTCCCAATACAGACTCTGCTTCTCTTCTGCGGGAACAGACTGTGCTGTGTGCCTCCCCCAATTCACTCTGTGTCCTAGACCCCTTTGAGAAGTAGCAGCCACCAGAGAGATTGCCATGGTGAAGGAAGACATCAGGCGCTCTCCTGTTCTGTTGCTCTGTTCCTCGCTGCCGGTTCCTGGCAAAGCCACCCTGGAGTTTAGCCTCTTGTTTATTGCAGGAGATCTCCAGCATTTCTGCTTTTTTTCAGAATTCGGCCACGTTGTTTTGCAAACCAGCCAAGGGTGCAAACATACCTCTCCATGCCCAGATGAGTTCGCCAACTTAGGGAAGTTCACGGGGGTGAGAAACGACCACTGGCGAGGCCAAAGCACAGCCTGATTTTTGTGCAAACTTTAAAAATGGGTAAAAAGCAAGCAGAAATGAGATGGAATAAAATCCACGGAAAAGAAAAAAATGAAAGAGGACAAATTCACTTCACCTGACTTGCAGAGCTACTCATCCGAAAGGCACCGAAGCCGAGTCTGCATATATCAAAACTTGAGTTTAACCCTACAGAGAATGTGATCTGTAACTCAACAGCAGTTCTAGAGACGGAAGGCAGCTTTTCCAACAGGTGCAATCCAGGGGTTTGGACTACATTTCCCAGTTCACAAGTTAGGAAGAGCAGCTCAGCCTGACTGGAGGACGCTGCTTAATTGCAAGACTAACTTTCTGATTAAACTGATCATAAAGGTATAAAAACGCTCTATGCAAGCACAGAGATAATTAGAATAGCCAAGGTGACTTCAAAATATTCTCCTCTGCTATAAGATATAATATAGCAAGATCTCCATAATACAAAGATTGCACAGTGCAAAAGGTGCTGCTGCTGAATTCAGAATTATTTTAGGCACATTATAATTGCACACAGTGTTTCCTTCCTTGTATTTGTAAGGGCATGACGCTAAAGACCGAACACCTTATAATCCTCATTCTACGTATGCTGTCTGGAACAAAGCCAGCCTTTTATTAACAGGGTTAGTATTAACAATTAATGGCCTTTAAGCTGCAAAGAAATCTCAAATCCCAGGTGGACATGGGCTAAACAATACACAACAGAACAAAGAACTGGAAGGAAAAAAAATACATCCAGGAACAGCTGCATAACAATTCCAAGGATTGAATTTTGACGGTAGGAAGTCAGAAAGTATGTGATTCACATCCTAGAATCAGAGTTAGAAGAAGGGACCAAAGAGACCATCAAGTCCAACCCCTGCACACTACAGGAGTCATTTTACCATGCCCAATATTGCCAGCTTCCATTTGAAACACCCCAGTGAAAAGGAAGAAACCACTCTGTGCAGTAAAGCTTATTTGTGATTTACCATGTTGAACACTTTCTTTCAAGGCTGCATCGGTGTGTCTCTAAATAATATTCCTTACTCATCTTGTTTTTTGTTTGTTTGTTTTATTTTTAAAGTAGATGTACACTTTCAGGTTTCAGTCTGGGAATTTCTCTGGGGTCTATCTGAATGCTCCAAATTAGCCCAGCTCCTTTCAATGTCCCCATTCCAAGCGGTTCGTTGTCTGGAATTTCTTAATGGCCTTTGGGGGGGGGGAAGGAGGCTTTTTATGCCTGGCACAATCTTGGTTTTCATTCTTACCTAACTCCATTGCTGAGATGTTGCAGCCAACACAAACTTTGACCGGTGAAATAATGTACAGATCCTTGAATGAAAGGGGCTTAGCCATTCCTCGGGGCGGCTGTTATTTTAAAGCCCAAGTAACGTGGGTCTCTCCCAGCGAGGAGACAAAGAAGCGGGATGCGGAGCACAGCCACGCCTGGGCTCTGGGTGAAAGGGGTCTTCCCACAGGCAGCGGGGCACGTAGTAAGTCCATTATGCCGAGCATGAAAAGAGAGATCTTTCAGAAAAGGAACGGGGGCCTTGTAGTCTTGTCTTAGCAATGATCTTGTTTCAGAATTTCATTCTGTTTACAGGCTGTCCCTTCCTTTAAAAATACCACTCCCCAGCAACGGTAAAAGACAAGGCACTAGCAAAAGGCTCGTTTAGGCGAGGATCCCCACACGGACCTTTGTTCCACATCCTCTTATGAGGCGAAAGGATCCGGGAGACAATCAGGAGCCAGATCAGGGAGCACTGAGTTCAAGGCCCCACTCAACCACAGGAAATACTTGGGCAAAAGAAGTCTGTAAAATTTTAACAATTGCTTAGCAATGGAAATTCGGGTCCCACTGTGGTCATATGTTGAGGACAACCTGCACACACAGGCAGGACTGTAGAGATGGGGGCTTGCAAAGGTCTCAGCCTGGAAGCTGGAGGACAGG